GGACAGCCACGCACCAATCGTCGTTAACGTTGACCATTTGGCATTGTTATCTGTATTTGCCGATCAGACAAATAGCTGCGAAGAATGCTGAGGACTTCAATCAGGCACTAGACATTCGATCACATCTGGCCACCAGAGTGAATCGAATGCCCCTTGGATGTCGACCGACACGACTGCTGCGTGCAGATCGTTATTTTGGTTTTCCTTAATTGTGTCCAACAGAGTGGTCAAAGCATGCTCTGTTGAAATACCCTGTTTAAAACCAAACTGAGCTTGGTGTATTATACTTCTTTTGCTTAAGAAATGATTGAGTCTTCTCAGTATTACTCGTTCAATTACTTTACTAATGGCTGGTAGCAGAATGACAGGCCTGTAGGATCTTGGATCATCGGAGCTCCTCCCGACCTTCAGAATGAGAACTAACTCGGCTAGTTGTTGTTGGGAAATGACTCAGTCTCCAACATGTGCCGCATAATTTAACCAACAGTTTTGGGCATGATTGATGCACAACCTTGATTAAGATGTCATCAAAGCCATCTGGGCCCAGTGCCTTGTTATTGACTAAGGCCTTGACTATTCTGTGCAATTCTTTTGGTGTTCGCAGCTTCGAGTCACTTTCGGTGGTAGTCCAATTACAGTTATCATAGTGTTCCCTGATGTCCGCCTGTCGTGCTGAGTCTGTCTCCTTTGCATCATTGCGAAAGATAACTTCAAGTATGTTGCCCAAAATTTCTTCGCTAGTGGTGCCAAGTTGCGAAGCTGCTAACTGTAGTGGACGAAATACTTTCGCACAGGCTACTTTATGTACCTTACCATAATGCTCTATGACTCTGCTGCAATGGTTTTGTCACGTTTCGAGTTCGCTATGAATGATTAGTTTTTTGTAACTTGCGTGTTCCATTATGTAAAGCTGCATTTTACTTTGCCTGGCAGCAGAGTCTATTTCCGCCTACGCTCTTCTGCGTAAAGCCCTGTAAGTTTGCCGTTCCACCAGGATAGAGAGTCAGGTATTTTCAATCTCTTCATTTTGTACGACATCCGATCAACTGCCATTAGATCATGTATTAATTTATCGTAGATCCTGTCCAAATCGTGACCAGTTGCACAGTTGTTTAATCCTGTGAGGTACTGGGGAAAAATCAGCCTGCACTGTTGCATGAACTTGGAAATGTCCGTCATATTTCGTCTTTAATCGATACTGTGTGTAATATATGCCCGGTAATTGCAGTTCAAAGATAATGAGCCTGTGATCACTGAACGTCGGTGTATCACTGACTCTCCGATTGCTGATAAGGTGTGCTAGTGGGGATGAAGCTAAATCAGATTCGGCCATCCCTCCACCCTAGTGGTACGGAAAGTGGGAGGGGACTTCTCAGAGTTGATCACTACTAACCGACTTTCCGAGATAAGGTGTAGAACATTTGGCCTCTCTCATTTTCTCCCCGTGCTCCCCAAAGAGGACACGAGGCATTAAAATCCTCTGCTATGATGTAAAACGGATATGTGGCAAGAAAATCTGGATTCAGTTCCTGCATAAAATCATCCATAGAACCACTGGAAGGCATATAGACGCTCGTGGGGCTATCGAGGAAGTGTGTAGTTCTAAAAGGATTGTAACTGTATGTCCAGTTTGTCGGATTAGAACTGGTGACAATGGACCATGAAAGATCAGACCTGCGAGTTATAAAGTTGACAAGTAGATTTTAGCTGTTTTGGCAGACCTGGTAATGTATTCACCTCTAGTATAAAACTCCTGTATAAATAAGACTGTGATCTTAAATATTACCAATAGATCAGCAAAATTTAATGTGGCTGCTCGCGCCTTTTGCAGATTGCGTTGGGCGAATATCATACCTTGCGAATCGTTAGCGAATAGAGAAGTTAATTGTTCACCTGATTGCGACGCATCAGACGATCCCTATGCTGCTTCTAGATGGAACATTGTGTGTCACTTGCCATGTGTTTTGCATCTAAATTCAATTGCTGAGAAGCGTTTTTGCCCTTTGACAGTTGACACAGATTGTTAGATCACCACTGCAATCTGTATGGCGGTGGGCGCCCCCACACGTGCCGCACACTACTTCTTCTCCACAATACCTGGCTAGGTGTCCACGCTTGAAACAACGCGTAATGTGATGGTGTTCCTTTAGAGCACAGGAACATGGGCCAAGATAAACACTTCTGAGGGAAAGGACTTTATCTATAATGTGAACATCAAACTCTACGATCCAATTCGTGAGACCCAGTTTACTCTTGAAGGAACGTGCTGGGTGTATACCTTCGTTTGTGAAGCGCCCGAGTGCTTCACGAAATGCTGTAAGATCTTTAGTTTTGTCTTCTGGAGTAGCGAACACAATAGCGGAGCGTGGAACTCTTGGCTCTCGAACTTGCAGATTGCTTAACTGAGAATTCGCAGTGATGGAGCCTCTTACTCTTGCTAGATGTGCCTTCTCCCTTCACCTTACCAAGAGTTCACGAGATGGTGTGGATCTTACCTGTACTACGTCGACTGCTGTCTGGAGTGCTCTTATCGTCTTTGTCTTTAATTAGTAGTACGTGCTCCGAGAGAGTAATCTGAACGGGAGCTTGTTACTGTTTGCGGGCGCGTTTGTTTAACAACCCGGTCTGGAAAGCTTCCTTCCACTATCTGGTTCGCGGCTCACTTGTTTCTCTGTTCTGTGAACAGTGTCTTGTTGCAACAGAGGGGATGGGGTGAACAGTGGCAGAAGCTGAGCAGTACGGAGCACTTGTTGGAATTTTATCCTTAAATGCCTTTAACTCACCATGAAGTTCTGCAATTTTGACCTCTTGGTGGGTCAAAACAATCCTAATATCAACCAAGTAATCTGCCAGGACAGAAATTACTGCTGAGGTAAGTTTACGTCTACCTCGGTGCTTTAATAGGTGTCTCAAAAATTTGTCTATTAAGGAATTCACCTTCACAGTTGGCGTCTGATCCTCTGAAGTCTGAAGTCCTCTTGGCTAATAACTGCTGGCTGATCCAATTTATAGAGCAAATTGGGTGAATCGTCTCTGGTTGCCATCAGAGACTAGTATTGAATGCAAAAGATTCGTTCGCAGAAGATAAACAATGTAGTGCATACACAGAAAATAAAGTATAATGCTATGTAAAGTCTTTAAAAAGTGTAAGTTAAAATCACAAATTATAATGCTAATGATAACCACAATATGAATATGCATAAATATTAAAGATACGCACCACTAAAACTTTAACAGTGCTATATGCTTAGCGCTCGTGCTACAAAAAGCAATACTTAAACAAGTAAATGTAAGTGCAGTCAACAAAAAACCATAAAAACTGAGTGTTCCGTGAACAAGTACTATGACCTTGATTTGTAATCATTTTATTATCTGTGAATGAGCTATACATATATTCAATTTCATCAAAAGCAACCGCGGCCCACCAGTGGCCGAGCGGTAAAGTCGGTGAACACTGGTAGTTCGGCTCGAGGTTCGAATCCCGCGAACGGGCTGGCTGCATGGCTTTTCTTGTGGTTTTCCCTATGTATAACCTGTATACGAGCCAGTTTCCTTTAGAAAGTCCTCCGCGAAGGCATCACTCATCTTAGGCAGATATCCCTCGAGGCTCTGCCGTAATCACACACACACATCAAAAACAACCACTTTCTTCGTAGTGCTTCGATTTTTTTTTTTTTCAAAAGAGTGTATTTGGTGGCAATATTTTGAAAAGTGATGCAGCATTTTATAGTGATTCGGCGCAAAATTCCATTTCAAGACTAATAGCTCTTATGAGCTAATGCCCCTTTGAGGAATTTAAGAAAACCTCGTTTAAATCGCAAAGGAACTAGATACATGTTGGAAATGCCATCTAAATTATGCAAAAAAAAATAATACGATTTCTATCGAGAGATGACATCTGGTACAGTACAGTTTAAATATAAATCAACTTTAGGCTATTTTCTGCGCAGGAACATAATAAAGCGTAATCAAATCGCAATTAATTCTTCTCATTCCCTAATTCAGCTTCCGGGATTAAAAGGAAATCTTCATTATTCTTCTGTTATATTATTAAAACATTAATGAAATTACAGAGATAGTGACATACAGCTCAATTTAAAATCTGAACAATGATATAATGTACTCTGAAATGGTCTCAGATTTGACCCAAAACTACATTACAGGCACATTCAAAAGTTCACTGCGTTGGCATTCAGACGTGTTGTATTTTGTTTCTATGATTTTGTCACTAGAAGTTTGTATCAATACACATAGCTAATTTTAGCTAATCTTTAATTTACGCCAGCTTTCTATCTACTTTCCCCAACTCCTAATGTCAAATTGAACATATTTCAAAGGTTGTCATACTCTCTGACCGAATATTGCTCTTCTATCTGTTTCTTCTTTTGAATCACCAATGTCTGTTGATGTCTTAAAATGTCAGCAGTTTTTTCTAGACAACTAAACTTAGGAGGGCAAAGAAGTTTCTATGCAATGAATACCATTATACTGTGGCCTTGATGGAAATGATAAGGCAGATTTGCTGGCAAAGAAAGAGCCAGTATTCTCCAAATAACTGACAACCACGACTCTTTTTAAAGTGCGAAAAGAGTAATAAAAGATTACTACAAAGAAGCTTCTTGGAAACAAACAGTCATAAAGTATAGATTAACAGACTTTTTAACACTTGTTTATGGCCCAGAAAGAAATTTGTTGTTGTCTTTCGTCTTCTTACTGGCCATGATTGCTTTTTAAAACATCTGCATCGAATGAACATTATCTCAAGCCCAATTTTTAAATTAGGCAACCATCATGAGGTGAAATGCAAAATAGATTTATAAACTTACTGTCGACTATATGTTATTTTAGTTTTCCTCTTCTCTTCCATCTTTGCTTGTTCTGTCTACAATTTTCTTTGTAATTTGCCATTAGAAATAAAAGAAAAGTTCTTTCTACTTTTGCTTTTCTTTAGTACTTAATTTTGGTTCATTTATTTACGCTATTCTCTTCATCCTTTACAGAATGCGACTGTGGCAAAAATTCAATCTGTACCTTCTCTCGCTACGTAAAAGTTTGCAGTTGCAAAGAAGGATATGGAAGAAAAGACGGTATTTGTACAGGTAAAAAAGCGTCTTTTACTCAATTCCTAAAAGTTTGGTTACAGCAGTAAAGAAGTACTCGCTGAAAAGAAATATTAATTTGATTTCGTAAGAATACTAAGCTAAGTAAAGTTACCTTATTCAAAAAGGAATGAGTTTTCTTCACGAAATTACGTTCTCTCTACTATAATGTAAAAATATCCCCCTCCCCCAAATGGAGGGCTCTAGCCATTTATAGTGTAAAAATAAAGCTCAAAGTTACTTGAAAATATTCGTTTGCTTAATACTATGTCTGAAGTACACTTAAAGTTTTTAACATAATCAATTTATAATGCCGTGGCCGTACAAAAATATATGCATCAGTCCACTGCGGTCAAAAATTCGCAATGTCTGTAATCAGAATTCTATGCACAACTGCAATGTTCGCTCAATAAAGAAAATTTGAGAACGCTGAGCGCATTAGTTGTTTCTGATATCAACTGAGCAGCTTAAACTAAATTGCAAATTAACGCTGCCATTCTTATATAAGTAACTATAAAATGAGAGTTCTGTGCCAGAGGGTCAGTGGGTCAGAGGGCGTGGTCAATGACATCGTAGGTGCAGCTTGCAGCATCATCGATGACATAACACCAGGAAGTGTAGCCAATGACGTCACGAGTAGAGTTGAGTTGTTTTAGGTTGCTGGTTGAGTTATAGACATCCTGTTCCTAAGAGTTTTCATTTAAATTTAGTTTTTCAAAATTAGCAAGGGGTCAAGTGAATATTTTCTGCGTCTTCTTTTAATGTTATGCTCTGCTGACGAAAAAGTGAATTGTATATTTTAGAAATGTATTTTTAAGTCTGTCGTTAAAACAATTTAATGCGGGTCTCTGGAAACAATATGAGAGAAAAAATATAAAAAGTATTTCCATCTAATAACAATTCATTCTGTCATGAAATGAAACTACAAGATTTGTTTTTATTTATTATTCTACTTCATTTTATTTTGATACTTTTATCCTTTCTAGTTTTCCATGAACTTTTAAGTTATTTCCTATATTTTCTGTTCATAATAGCATATTTGTTTGCTGCCATATTTTTTAATACTGAAGTTTTCTAATCTATAGTATTCTCATTTAAATTTTCTTGATTATTTTTTTTTATAATTTTCAACATACTCTGAATTATAAATTACATGTTATGTTATACGAACGCAATCGTTCCCATACAAAATGTTTATTTGTTACATTACTTAATTTTAAACGGAGTTCAGCACTTTTTCTTAACGCTATATTGTTCAATATATTAGGAATTTTAACTTGTTTTTTCCAACTTTATATAACTGCTATTGTTATGGTGCCTTTTCATGGCCCCAAATGTTAGGGTGCCTTTTGGAAAGGTCACCACAACACTAAATTAAATTTTCCTATAAACCTAACCTAACTAAAATTTTTGCATTGTGTTGTGTTAAAAATTTCGAACAACCCTTGTTTCGAATGAAAATATGAACTGGTGTTGTAGGTGTAATAATACATAGTATGAGAAATAAAATACAACACTAAATTCATCCAATAAAAAATTATTTATTTTATTTTATTTTACCAGAGTAGTAAATATTTCATCAAATAGGTTAAATATCTTGGAGCATACTATGGCTGTTATATTTAGTTAAATAAGAAATCTCCCCGGGGAGATAAAACCAGTTAAACAACTTCATTAACAGACAGTGTAACCATTTAATGATGAATAATTATATTAACACAGGATATTTATGAATACTTTCAGATTTTGAAGCAATTAAATAATCATAACACAATTTTCTAATAGCATAATACTGCTAAGAAAAACCGGATGAAAATTTGAGTACAGAATTTAATGAGCAGAGAAATCATTCTAACAAAGTTTCCCAGTTGCTATTAATTATACGTTAACCGGAAGGTATATGATGTATAAATTTTCTATTGTACAAATTATTTTTTTCCTTAAAACTTTACTTCATAGCAAAAGGGAGCAGAAAACATCTATCTCAGAACATTATCTAGATTTTAATTCTACTACTTAGACAACCTAAAATTTTCCCTAAATATCTTATCATTAACATGGAGAGAACGCCATAGATACTGGATAGAAAAGCAATTTACTCAACACTGAACAAAATTTTCCCTAAATATCTTATCATTAACATGGAGAGAAGCCTAGATATGGATAGAAAAGCAATTTACTCAACACTGAACAAAAAATTTTCCCTAAATATCTTTCATTAACATGGACAGAGAGAACGCCATAATACTGGATAAAAAGCAATTTACTCAACATGAACAAAATTTTTTCCCTAAATATCTTATCATTAACATGGAGAGAAACGCCATAGATATAGATACTGGATAGAAAAGGAAAACAAGAAAAATAGAAGAAAAGCAATTTACTCAACACTGAACAAAATTTTCCCTAAATATCTTATCATTAACATGGAGAGAACGCCATAGATACTGGATAGAAAAGCAATTTACTCAACACTGAACAAAATTTTCCCTAAATATCTTATCATTAACATGGAGAGAACGCCATAGATACTGGATAGAAAAGCAATTTACTCAACACTGAACAAAATTTTCCCTAAATATCTTATCATTAACATGGAGAGAACGCCATAGATACTGGATAGAAAAGCAATTTACTCAACACTGAACAAAATTTTCCCTAAATATCTTATCATTAACATGGAGAGAACGCCATAGATACTGGATAGAAAAGCAATTTACTCAACACTGAACAAAATTTTCCCTAAATATCTTATCATTAACATGGAGAGAACGCCATAGATACTGGATAGAAAAGCAATTTACTCAACACTGAACAAAATTAAGTAGGCTAAATCCTAAACTTCTCTTAATTTAGTAAAGAATGAATTTTTCATTTTAATATGGCTGAAAGCTTCCTGAATAATTTTTAAACCAAACAAAAATAAAATTTTAACTTATTTTGCACCTACGGAAAGTCAAAAATTACTTCATCAAAAGCCGACTGAGATTGATGGTGAAAACCACGGTCGCAGCCCTCAGAGATCCAAGTAGGAAAACGTGGAGAACAATTATCAGATGGGTAGTTGATGTAACTTAACGGTGGAGATTAATAAGTTGAGGTGATTCTCTCAGGAAAATTCCTCCCCGCAGTCTTCATGATTAGACAGAATGAAGAATCAGGCCAACCGTAGTTGGGAAAGCAGCCGCATGAAGAAAACGAACATCTCCACTGGAACAACATTGGTCTTCACTGACATTTTTATTTTCGATGATCAAGGCGAGAAATGGCAAATTTAAGTGGGCTGTGTTCCAAAAGAAAAATGTATAAAATTCATCTTGAATGTGTCGCTACTTTCTTTCTTTTCACCATCGACGGAACAGCTGGCCCACTGGGTTAGGTGCTTTTCAGCCTGTTGGATCCCGTCGATGGAATTAAAAATAAATACATGAATAAACATAAATAAAGAGCTTAGTTCCGTGTCCTCCGGAGATTAGCCATGAAACGAGGAACATTGAAGTAAGTACCAGAACATGGAAAGAAGGTGCCTGGTGGGGACTGCTGAGACTAAGCGGAACACTTTTCACTATTATCATACATGTTAGGCATACAGTTATATTAAGGATGTGCTATAAAATCAGGTGCAGATGTAAAGATGACCAAATGCATTACAATTGTTGGAATACATTAAATGAGTTCTGGATTAATCTAATATTATTATAATTAAAAACAGCAAAAAAAAACACCACCAGACATTAAGTAAATTAGTATATGTACAGCAGGCTGCTGACAGCACGGTGTCCAAGGAAAAGTAGTCACTCCAGGTTGTCAGCAATGCTTTTTAGCAATGGTAGTGCAGTCTCTAATGCGGCTGAGTGCATATTATTATTAATTGTTCTTGAACCATGCTGGCAATTGATTGCAGTGTTGTCTTTTTAAATGTGATTCCCTGGGCGAGCAGTCAAACAGACAGTGATCTAGGTCACCATTACTGCCACAATACATTGGTCAGTCTCTTAGACGAAATCTGTGAAGATAGGACATATAGGGGACATGCCCGTCAAATACTGTGTTAGGGCGAAGAACTGCTTTAAATGTGGTTAACTTTGGTTGGAAATATACAGTTTCTGCCTGGGGTACTTTTTCCCAGTAGTTTGCCACTGCTTTCTAAGTTCACATTTGAGAGTAGTTTTCAGATACAAGTGCGGAAGGGGACACCAATATAATCACGTGTGGGTTCATTGGCTGTACTTTTCACAATCGTACCGCTGCTTCATTCCTTTAATCCCCATATGGGCTGAACCCACTGTAGCTGGGGCTCAGACTGCAGGTTTCGAAATTAATAGTTTTGTATGTCTGACAATGAGGATGTCTACTGCGGCCCTGGATGGCTGAAAGCTGACATTGAGTGTGTAATTATTGCACCTGCCATCGTTAGCAGTAAAGTCCAGAGCTGTCTTACGGCTGTTAATTTCTGCCTGAAACACCGAGTTACTGGGATGAAGCTTCTTAGCCAGGAAGGATTAGTGGGACCCTCCTGCAACCAGGCACTGCCAGTCCCGAGTTCTCCTTTGGAGCCTCAGTATACGGCTGAGGATTTTCATGCATTGTAGGATTAAGTTTCTTCTATATCGAAGTTTGCAGGATGGCATGGAGAGTGGGCAATGTGATTCTCGTAGTCCGACGATGCATAAGTCTTACTCCAAATAGTAACGTCTTGTTTTAGTCTCATCACTCTCACCACAACACTCTCGCTCTGTTCTATCAAGTGCAGGGGCGGAAGCCCAGCCAATAATTTAATGCAGTAGTAGGATAAGTACGGAATCTTCTGCAGATGCCCAGAAGAAATGGTCTTTGCGCGGAGTTCAATGCATGTTGCATGTTAAAGCAGCCATGCATCACATTGACGCCCCATATGGAAACGCCATGAAAAGCTATGCGCTCAGCGACTGTAACATACCATATTTTGAGCATTTGTGAGAAGACTCTCCAGTTAGCAGCAGCAGTTCTCCGCATTATAT